CGTAACGAGGTGGCCAATCGCCGAGAGAAGATCTACGAAGAACAGGTACGACAGTGGAACTAAAGGGACTGGTTTAGGCAATGGGCAGGACGTGACTGTCTTCATGTTCCAGACACTAACTTTTAGGAAAACAGAAAATGACACACAAGCAGTGAAGATGAGGTCAACAGTTTGAATGTGAAGACTATATGCATAATGACAATGACTAGAAGTTAAAATTCCCATCCTCTTCTCCCCAATAGAACCGTGGAATCTACATGTTCCGCATCAACAACGAGCAGGTGATTGATGCTACTCTGACTGGAGGCCCAGCTCGGTAAGTAACAACGACTTACTTTGTGAACCAATCATAAACCTTTGTGCATTTTTTACTCTGTTTTTTCCTTCTCAGTTATGTCAACCACTCTTGTGCCCCCAACTGTGTTGCTGAGGTTGTGACCTTTGACAAAGAAGACAAGATTATTATCATTTCCAGCCGCAGAATACCCAAGGGGGAAGAGGTACAAGTCATGTGTATGATGGGGGTTTTTTAACAACATGTGTACATGTTTATTCACCTGTATTTTTTATTTTTTATTTTTTTTCTTTGTCTCTCCAGCTGACTTACGACTACCAGTTTGACTTTGAGGACGATCAGCACAAAATCCCTTGCCACTGTGGAGCTTGGAATTGCCGCAAGTGGATGAACTGAGGAGACCAGAGCGCTCCCTTCCCGCTGGTGCCAGAATGGTCCTGCGCCAAAGCTTTTGAATCCTACAACATAGCCAGTGCATAAGCTGTTGTGTAAGCTGTGGGCGGAGGAAGGCTGACCTCCGTCGTCATTGAGAGACTGAAGCAGTGACACCTGTAGCCAAAGGTTTGAAGAGCATTAATCAATAAAATAGCAACCAACCACCTCCGTCAGCAGCAGCTGGATGGTGGCACTGACTTTCATGTTCGGACTCGTGAAAACACTCTGTCCTCAGCCAAAACCCTTCTTCCCTTTTTGACTGTTCTTAATAAGCAACCAGTGGCTGGAAAACAATCCTCGACATCTACCAAATAATCCTGACCCTCTGATATCAGTACTCTTAGCGCTGAGCTCTGCTGGAGCTTCGACAAAAAGCCATTTAAAGATACTAAGAATGAACTAATGATGCATTTGTATATTTTAAGTCGGACCTATTTCCCCCCCGTCCCACACAACAACCTCCTCCCAGAAAAGGCACTTTTCCCCATCACGTCATCAATGAAGACAACACAGATATTGGTTAGCTAGACAATCTGGATGTGGCTCTGTGTCAGAACCACATTTGATGGATGGATGGAGAAAAACAGAAAGTGTACGTTAGTGTAAAAAAAAAAGAGAAAAAGAAAAAAAAGACGAGATGCTATTGATCTGTGGCTCCTGAGGAACCAGACGTTCTGACTGCGGAGTCCCAGGGCGGGTTATTAGTTGGACCCAGTCTACCTCATTTATGATTTAGCGGGAAGCGACTGCTTTGTATGAAAACTGTAAACTGCTACTGTGGAAACCAGAGGGTGGGGGGAGAGAACGGGTCGGGGGGGTTCTTTATTTCAGGCTTAGCCTTCTCGGACAAGCAGGGAATCTTTTAAAGCAGCAGGTTTGCTCTATCTACTCTATGCTGATGGTAAATTCACAGAAATGAGCCAACATAATTATTCCTCATGAATTATTTATACAGAGGAGCCGCGTGATAGTTTTGCATTAAAATCACAATCAGACGCTTCACCGACTCATCCTGTAGGCCCCTCCCTTTCTGTTTGTGAGTTTTATTTTTGCTTTTTTGGGGCTTTTTTAACCATACTATAATATGTGTGAAAGCACAATCACATCCAGCATTTGCGAAAAACTCACGGTGCGAGTCGACAGCTCTCGGATTCACAAACTCATTCACCTTCGCTTGTTGCTTTAACCATTTCACTTCCATTATTGTAGAACTAAGTGGTGGAAGCACGTCCACTGTCCCTTCATCCTGTCACTTGTTTTATGGCTCTTTTCCTGAAATCATGCCTCTTCCTCACTCTGTGTTATTTAGTGGACTGTTGTTAAAAACAAAAACTTTACTGTAGTAAGTCTTCCTCTGCCCGAGTCCAGCCTGCAGTGTTTTTTCTTCCTCTCTAGTGTGCTTTTCTTCAAGTGCTGGTACTGTCTCCTCCTCAAGGCTGCACCGATGGCAGGGAAAGACTTATCGGGGAAAAAAGGGCATTTGTTTCAATTCTGTGTAATAGAAAAAAAAGTCTTTAAAGGGAGCTTTACTGAAACTCCACTTTCCTTTACTGCTCTGTTTCCTCCCCACCCCTGAACCTAAGACCTCACATGATTAAAAAAAATGCAAACTTGTACAAACCCTGTATATAGTATATGCATTAGGGGACAACAGCTCTTTATTCAGCCCCCTTTGTAATCAATAAAGTCAAAGTGTAGAGTGATGAAATTGGAAGAAGAAATCAACCACTGGATATCATGTTAACAAAGAGAAAAGCTGTATATAAATATAAATACTGTATATGTAAAATGGTAAACTAATATCTTTATGTATATGAACCAGAGTGTTTTGCATTTACCTGTTTTTTCTATTAGTGTTTTTGCTATAAGCTCTCAGAGAAACGTTTGTTAAAATTGAGCTATGGTCTTCTCCAATCAGCTGCTGCCACGAGAAGCCGCGGTGATCGCAGAAACTGTACGGATTCACTTGACGATCACCTCTTGCGTAAAGCAGTACAATGGTGCATAGCATTTGTATTTATGTAATATTGTTCTTGTTTTGTTTTTGTTTTTTTTCCCCCTTCCTTTTATTTATGCTACTGCTTGTTGATTACCAAAACCTGTCCCTGGATCAGTTATGATTGGATTCTGAACATACTCTTGAATGGAAAACCTTGAACTCCCTTAGAATATTGCTGTTTTGTTTTCTATTTTATATATATCTTCCCTATAGAAGTGAATGTGTTGGTAAACCTTGTGAAATGTTTACTTGGCCTAATGTATGTTTATGATGTTATACTCAAAGTTAATCCCATACTTAACCTGGTAATGAATTGCACTCTCATAGTATAAACAGAGAACTTCTCTACCGTGGTAGATATTGATGGAGTACCTGAAGCAGTGATATATAAATATATAAATATATTTTTTGGTATGTTTCTATTTCAAGGGAAGACCATGAGGAGACATGACGCCGCTCACTGGATTTTAGATGAATAATTTTTAACTTCTCTGAATCGTAATTTAAGTTCTCTGCATATCTTATAATTTAATAAAGTTTGCTCAAATTGAAGGTTTTTTTTTTAAACTCACCTACTTTTTAAAAATGGTGTTGCATCTGTACAGCAGAGATACTTTTAGGGAATATGAATAAATATAATTTTTATTGTATGTGGCATGTTTTGTATGGATATAATTTTGAAATGTACATATTTTTTTCAGGATGCAATAGATTGCATCTCTTTATATACAGCTTTCCCAACTCCCGTTTCCCTTCATCTCTGTCTGCTTTTGTTGTAAAAGATAATAAAATGCATTTGAAATACGCATTTGTTTACTTATAATTACCCTTCACGAACCTCCCTACACTGTTATCAACAGTGGAACAACAACAGTGCCCTCCAGTGTCTAACGGAGGTACCCTACATTAATTAAATGCTCACCATATGTACAGTACATGTCACACGTGACATGCCGGTGTCTTAGATTTCTCAGCCGTACTTGCTGTACATGATTGATTGTTTTTTAAATGTATTACCCTGTATATATGTGTGGAGAAATGTCTTATCGATTATTTAAATACAGTTTTCCCTTTTATATTAGAATATTATTATCTTAAAAATACTGATAAACAATAATGAAAATATTGGAAATCAAAACGTTTTTAATGTCGCGAGATTGAATTAAAAATAATCCGCGATGTACTGAGGAAGCGGAAGTAGAACCGCGATAAAGAGAGGGACCACTGTAACGTGAAAGTTATAACGTAATTACGTGAAACTTATTACGAAATAACGTGAAACTTATCACGAAATATATAATAATAATAATGGATTATACGTCATGAAAGAAAGAAAGAGCCTAGGGGCATACGCACAGGAAGCACAACTGCCTGTGCTTAACCTAAGGTTTTTCGTGAGAACGAGATACGTTTCTTTCTCTCCTATAGAGAAGATAACAATATTCAATTCCGTTCAAAGATATAACCCGTGGCCATACAAAAGAAATGTGACGATTCTTGACTAAGTGTCTCACACAGGCATTCAGCTGTCACTGTGAAAACCTATCGAGATCCTAAAGACTGACCGAATATTTTCTTGGAGGGAAATTGCTGCCACCCTGTGGCCTAGCTTGTACCATTACACTATTGAACTATTACGCCGCTGCAGTAAAAACACTTTGGTTTAAATTATTGAAGTGTCTCTTTTGTCATAAACACTGCAGTAAATCTGAACATGAAGCCTTTTAAAATTTTATGGAACAAAACAGTAATATTTTATTTATATAATAAAAATAAACGTTGAAAAATATGCTTAGAAACAGAAAAATGTAAGCATAAAGCTAAGGATATTTGATAAAAATGATTTTAAAAAATCTGACAAGTATTAAGTTGTCATTAAAAGGCAAAGGAATGCAACCACAAACCTTTACAGAGCCTTCCACAGGATTAAATGAATTGTAATGTTTAATCCAATGTGTATTCCATGACGTTGTTTGCTTAATTTTTGACATTTTAACCTCGTTACTTTATAGGGCATTTCGATTTCCCAATGCTATTAGCAACTTTATGTTAACTTTTAAATTTAGACCAGAGGTCTTCAACAAAAAGCCCTCGAGCCCTTAGGGTCAATTGAGGTACTGCAGGGAGTTTGATTAGACAATTCTTGAACATTTTGTTTATTCAAATGGACTGTAAATTAGACATGGTGATTGGTTATACGTCAAGCTCACCGAACTGACTTGTTTTTTATTTTGGAACCTCTTTTTAGTTATAAACACTCGGCTTCCGACAATCAAATGTACCTAACTAAATTATTTTGATCACAGTTTTACATCAGTATTTCGGTGGCATTTTTATTTAAATTTGTTTTTATGCATATAATCATTATGGAGGCAACATTAATAAAGGTACGTTTAAAATGTTGTATTTCAAAAATGTCTTATGAAACGTGTTGATAATATTTTATTTATTTATTCTTTTTTTCCCATTATTTTAATTAATATTCTCGTTCTCAACCTTGTAAAACTCCACCATCACATTCTTGAACAGCAACCCCCGGAAAAGGCCCACGAATGTTGATTTGTCACACATACTGTATACAGTAGTTTATTGGTCGACTCTCGTCCTCCATGACAGATGTTGCTCAGAGGCTCCAGCCGCAGCCTGGTCTGACTTTTAGGGCTGACTTCCCAGAGATGTCACCACACTGGTGCCACCTGCTGTATCTGCAGCGCTGACACGCATCGATGCTCTCGACAATCAGCGCATCAGGAGCTCGCAGGCTCTGTGTCCCGGCATGGGCCCGGAAGTTGTTTGGGATTCCCAGGTAAAGAAAAAAAAATCCTGGAGATGCTGTCGTCGCCTGGGAAAACAAACAGCTCTCGGGAAACATAAGGAAGGACAGCGGTGATCGGTGGCCAGGTAAACGGGAGGCCGGTGGATTGCGCCGCGGCACTCGGTAAGCTCATTCGCGGCTTTTGGATGTGGAAGTACGGCGTGTGTGTGTGTTTTTAGAACGAGTTTAGTCAATGCCATTTGTCGTGCGGTCGGCTGCCATAGCAACGGCTCATGAGAAACACTGTAAAGGGCCAGTTTTCCAACCCACTGGATGTGGGCTGACAGCGGGGATGTTCATGCAGACTCTTTGCGCACACTGTCAACTCTTTGCAACACGTCGGCTGCTGTCTCGCCCGTGTCTCTCGTTCTCCGTGCACGCACGCAGGCGGGCGCGCGTGTATGTATGTATATGTGTGTATGTGTGCGTGCGCGCTGTGACTGGCGTGGAAATGGACACACGTCCACGGTGCAGGCGCGGACACATGAACGAGCGTGTCACTTATTTATAAATGCCTTACAACACGGTGGCTGAGATAAGGAGTGTCAGACTGACGCCGCTCTTCTGTGCCTGTTCTTTGAACCACCACCGTGGATCAGAGAGACAGAGACAGACACAGAGACAGCAGGAGCAGCAGGAGCCTGTTGCTCTCCCGACTCCTCCAATGACAGACCATGGTTCCCCCGCCGATGCCTTGTCTCCGCCTAAATCCACACAGTCTCCTCTGTCCACTGCTGTCATCCATTAGAGCTCCGCTCGTTAACATTATCCTCCAGTGATCACAATTTCATGGTCGTCCACCTTGAGGACGGAGCAGCATTTATTTTATAGTCGCTTTATCGAATAGTTTACTTTTTATTGTGTCGAATAATCCTCTGTTCCTCCTTTTTCTTCCTCAACTTTTCATCTACTTCACCATAAATTAATGTTAAGTGTCAGTTAAAAAATCATAAATGAATAAACGTATAGCGTACGACATTAATGTTTAAAAGTGGACTGACTGAAGGTAAAATTACGATATGTTCCATTTCTATTATTACAGTAAAAATATGACTGGTTTAATACCTGGTTGTAACTGGTGTTACTCCCAATACTGAGACCTCCAGCTGCAGTCAAAAGATTGGAAATTACCATAGTTACTTTAATTTGGACCTTCTGAATTGGTGTGAATGTGAGTGTGAATGATTGTTTGTGATGGACTGGTTAACTCTCCAGGCTGAGCTCTGCCTTAGTCCAAAACACCTGCTGATGTTGGCTCCAGCTCCAACTTAAGCAACAGAAAAAAGGAAAAAGGAAAAAAAAAATTCTAGAAAGTATTTCCCCCTTTTTGGGTCGTTTTAATGCGTGTACGTTTACATGAGCGTATTATTTCTTTTTACGGATTCACCTTGGTTTTCTGCACAAAATACTTTTACTTTTGTGTTTTAATTAATACCTGATCACTTTAGTACGTTTTCCCCAATGATTTGACGGACATGATGGAGATGAGGGCCGTTCCAGAGCATTCAACTTAACCACTAGGTGTTGTTACATCTTTAAATGTTGTACCTAAACTGTGTGTTTAGGTACAACACGATATTTGATTTCTTTAGCGTTAGTGTTCTTACGAGTATACACCCAGAAGGGTAAATAGTAGTGTTTCAGCTGGGTGAACACCGTAGTAGAAAAACTATGGAGTTCATCATCATAAAACAAACTATTTATCTGTTTGAATCATACAGAGCAACCATACATTATCCTACATTTTGATCCATGCAGTCAATATTGATGTTAAAAAAAATTTCTGCAAATTTCTTGTTAGAAAAAAAACATGGCTGTGGGATGTGTGAGAGGATGTGTGAGAGGACTGTCGTATTTCTGCCTCCTGTGTATATTATTGCTTGAATAACATATGAGTTTTGGCTGATGCTGTCCTGATAAATAGGGTGGGTGGTAAAAAAAAAACCAAAAGTTTGCCCAGGGCATCCATAGGAGCCAGCTCCACCACCGTGTATGCTTATAAATGAGACGTTACATAAGTTTGACTGGAGGTACTATAGGTGTATCTATGTAGAGTATCCGTGTTCCCAGGGTAATACTTTTTTAAAGAAACCTTTATGTAAAAAAATATCCAAGTTATGATTATCTTATCGATAATATGTATACATATGTGTAGACCTAAACAGAAATTTAGGTGAGCAAATATAACTTTTTATAAACTTAAAATTAAAAAAATAAATATTTTTATTGTAAAATATGATTTATCAAAACTAATGCATTTAACATAAAAAATAAATAAATTGAGCACTTGATGAAAATATCTATCGGCGCAAAACATTGCTTTTTAACATATTTGCTTTAAATAATACATACATATATGTTGTATGTTATATATGTTTAATATATAATTTTATTTCTAAAATGGGTTAAAGCACGTATTCATTCACTTTATTGTATAAATATACATACATATATGCACACATATATGTATACATAAATAAAATATTAATATATATATATAATTATATTTAAATATATATATAAAATAAAACTGATGACAAATCTACTTTTCTAACATAACATCTGATAAGGTAATTAATAAATTAAAACAATATTAAACAATATTAAATAGAGAAATAAGATACATGCGATAGATAGATATCTAAATTTAGATACCTGCACATCTGTTTGTCTAATATATGTATAAATATATATAAAGTATATATATACATACATGCGCTATGTCTTTACATCTTTTGTCTTTTAGTCTTTGTTTTGAACTTTAAAATGTTCTGCTCTGTGGTGTCAAAAGTGATGCAGCGGTCGAAAAAACTCCAACTCCTCCTACAATATTCTTGTGGCGTCACCCTCCTGTAAATGTCTTACCTCTTATATTCATGGTTCAGTTAGTCAGATACTGAAATAACAGAGAAGATCTCCAGTTCATTAAAATTAAATAATTACTAAAAACTTATTCTTTGATACTTGGACGTGACAAAACCTTTCCTTGTTTATTCATGGATAACATGGTTTGTATTTTCTTTATGGTTTGTATCACCATTATGTGAGGTTTTGCTATAGAAATGTGTGCTACAAAATGTCATGAAATTATCTTCCTCCAGGCAACTGATGAGAGAATGAATGCTGATGACTGCAATGGGCGCTCATATACACAAGGTACATTTGTATATATGACGGTAAAATCTCTATGGTGTTCTTAGCCTCCAGACATGATGTTTAATTTATTTATGTTTGAGGTAATGGAGGAGAGACATCAATGGAACAGGACTTTTATGGCCCAGTGCAGGGCCCTGCGAGATCACCCAACAGTCAGCAGTCATCACCACGCCGCTCTCTTAGTGGTCAGTTCCCATATCTTTATTGCACTGTGGCCATATTGTCTGGGTGGATATCTTCATTACACCTACTTAAGAAATTAAATGTATATATTTTTTCCCCCTCCTTTTGCTGTACAGCGAACTCCATCAAGGTTGAACTGTGCAGCGAAGATGAGTCACCGGGAGCTCAACAGCCAGAGAGCAGAGAAGCTGTGAAGGAAGACAGCAGGAAGGATGGTGGAGGAGACCCTATGGAAGAAGGGAACACACAGTTCACTGGAGCTCCCAGAGACAGAGTGACCATCTACAGTGAGATGGCCAGTCCGAACGCTGCTTCGCCAGGACCTATCCGTCTCCCCAACGGGAAGCTCCAGTGTGAGGTCTGTGGGATAGAATGCGTTGGACCCAACGTGCTGATGGTGCATAAACGTAGCCACACAGGTGAGGAAGAGTACACCAATAAACACATTCATATATACTTATATAAATATATATGTGTGAGTATATATATAGATATATATATGCGTGTGTATATACTGTATATGTATATACGTATATATGTGTATATACCGTATATATACACTACTGTCAGTCTAACAGTGAATTTAAAAGACACTGCCTTAAATATTGACCTTTAAAAAGCCACTTCCTGTGGTCTTAGGTGAGAGGCCATTCCATTGTAACCAGTGCGGAGCCTCTTTCACTCAGAAGGGAAACTTGCTGCGTCACATTAAGCTGCATTCAGGAGAAAAGCCTTTCAAATGTCCATCCTGTAACTATGCCTGTCGCCGCAGAGATGCTCTGGCTGGACATCTGCGCACACATGCAGGTAAACTGCAGTCTTTTACAGCGTTTTTTGTTCTAATGGATAAGGTTAAGCGAAATGTAAGATTTTAATAACTAGAACACCGTGTTAAGACACGTCTTTGTCAAGCGTTGTTCTATATTTTTGTCAAGCGTTGACTTGTGGTACCTTTTATTTGATCTCTGTACTTTATAATGTTTTTGGTTTATTAGAAGAAGGCCAGATGTAAACACATTCATTATTTGGAGCCGTCTGTAAAGCTCTAGAGTTGCTCTGGAGCAGACTGGGGCTGTATTTCATCCAGTGCTTAAGAAGCACAGAGGAAATGCTAAAAACTCAAGTTAAAGTTTGTATGTAAAATTTAAATAATGTGTCTATTCATTTTTTGATTCGTTTGTGTTTCTGTGAATATTGTTAAAGTTCAATGTGTGAAAGAGCTGGTGGTAGGTAGAGACGGAGGCTTGTTGTTAATGGTCCACTTCCCGTTCTGTGAAGCTCAGGGGAAATGGGTCTTTTTCACCAGAATCTAACTCTAAAACACATGTCAAAAATATGAGATCTACCTTGTTGTGAAAACAGGAAATCCTGTTGGTTTCTTATAATTTGTGAACGGATTGTGTGTCGAACAGGTGTTGACATGAAGAATAAGTACAGTAGGTCTGGGTGGATTTAAACAGATCACACTTGTTCATTTACAAAAAAAATAATCGAGGTGACTGGATGACAGTAAATTGACGTCAGCCGTTCGGGCGACTTACAGTAACGGAGCGTTGCGGTAAAGGGTTGGCTGCTTTTTTGTCATCACTGGCGAGAAACATTACCTAATTCTCTAGAATTAAATATCAATCGTAGAAATGCATGAGAAGAATTGATGAAAAAATATTTTTGGTGGAATTATTATGAGGTGAGATCCATCTACGATCTTCACTGTGTTGCAGCCTCTTCTCCAATGATGGGAAAACCGTTTAAGTGCAACTACTGTAGCCGCAGCTACAAACAACAAAGCACACTGGAGGAACATCTGGAATGCTGCCAAAATTATCTGAAGAGCCTGGACCATCAGGCCACAGTCAACAGGCAGTCGAAAACACAGGGTAACACAAACGCACCGATCTACAGCCAGTACATTGTTCAATATCCCGGCCACTGCTACTGAGTGTATACACCAATGACTGGGACTTTCCGCTGCAGGTGAAGAGTCGGCAAACATGGAGATAATAAGAAAACGTGTTCTGCAGCCGTCCAGTGAAAGAATCCAGTTTGTGGAGAGACTGGCCAATAGTATAACCAAACGCAAGAGGTCGACACCACAGAAGTTTCTGGGTAGGTGTTCATAGGTTACTAACCGACAGTCATCTTTTGGGCAACAGTTAATGGATCACTTCAACTGTTGAAATTTCTTCCGATTGTTGACAATTTATTTATTATTAATTTATTTTTAAAAGTGTTGGAGTTCAGGTTGAAGACGTCTGGTCGTATGTGTATAGATCTGGCACAATGAATCTCCAATGTCTCAATAGAAAAGTCAGGTCATACGTTTTCTAATAAAGGAGCACTTGATTTTTGAAAGTGAGTTCCACAGTTATTACTCCTGCCAATGATCGCCCCAATATATGCATATACATATATGTATATAAATATATAAATATATATTGTATATATATTATATATATTTAAAAACAGGGCAGTTAACCTAGCCATTTGGTTCGGCTAATACTTAGGGCTGCTTTGTTTCCATCAATATATACCATATATACAGTAAATATAAATGACTGGGTTCGTGTTTAAAGGGTCATGGGAGAGATTCTCTGACTTAATCATTGCTAAAACTGATGCTTCATTTTTAGGTGAAAAGCACATGCACCTTAACCCGCCTGAAGCACCTTATGAATTGTCCTCTGGATCTGAGAAAGATGGCGACCTCATGAGCTCTCAGCCGACAGGAGACTCTGCTGGGCTGCCCAGCTCGCGACTGCAAGGCACCAAGGGTAAAGGTGAGAATCACAAGTCACCTTTACTGTCTCAGCTCAGCCCTGCCTTTCTGTCAGACATCCGCATGGCCATGAGCTCCATCGGCAGCAACGTGACTCCTCAAGGCCCCCGGGCCCACGGCGGAGGTGGACTGGCGACGATGTCTCACGGGCTGGCTGGGCGGGAGGCAGGCGAAGGGCGTGTTGACCAACCCTCAGCTCACAGCCATACCACCTCACCCAACGGCTGCCCTGACTCCACAGACACGGAGAGCACAGCAGAGGAGCAGAGCACAAGGGCTACAGCCCCAACCAGTACCTCCAACAATCACCACCTCCACTACCAAACCCCAGCACTGCCCCGCAGCCTCCCCACCTCCAGTCCCAGCCAGGCCAAATACTTGGAGCCAGATTGGGAGAGGGCATGTGTGGTGCCCGCCCCGCCAGTGAAGAAGATCCTGAGTTCTCCCCTTTCTTCCAGAGAGACAGTGCAGGTGCTGGACAGGAACGGCAGACCAGTGCGCTCCTTCCCCTGCCACCACTGCTCCATCCTTTTCCTGGACCATGTCATGTTCACCATCCACATGGGCTGTCACGGCTTCCGCCAACCCTTCGAGTGCAACATCTGCGGCCACCTCAGTCAGGACCGCTACGAGTTCTCGTCTCACATCAGCCGCGGAGAGCACCAGGTGGGCTGAGGGAAGGTGGCCAACGGTCGGAGGAGGGGGAGGCGGCGGCTGCTTAATTAGGTTTGGGCTCATGTTTGTTCTGCACCAGATGAGTTGCTTTAAATCCCTACTGTTAGTAAATATAAAAAAAATCTGGTTTTATGTTAAGATTATTTATAAGGTCCTTAATAAAATACAAGTAAAAAATAAATAAATATTTTTTACCGCTCCATTAAAAGTTAAGTGGAGGCAAATTACGTTTTTCCAATTGATTTCCACTCCCAAATCATCAAATCATCTGAAGCCAAACTGGTAGTTTTGCTTCAAAAGTGCCTTCTTGGGGAATTACCTCTTAACTAAAAAACTAGGTAGGTTCCAAAAACCTTGACTAGCCATCTTTTCCTAAGAGATTTAGTCAGCACTTTTGATGTCATGCACACAGGGGTTTTAAGAAGAGCATGGCATGTAAAATTGAAAGAATAATAGTTGTAATGTTCAGTGTGCAGCGTGGTCTGTTGGCTCTGGTGCGTCACGTTACGCTTGAAATGCACTGAGAGCTTTGGGCTTGGAGGGATTTTGTCACAGACGAAGCTCAGTTATGGATTGCCTTAACTCCTACACTAGTTTAGTGATGTAGGAAAACATTGTTTACAGCTTGGTTTCACAGAGTGTGGGGTGACCTCAGAGGGGGGAGCACTTACCGCTGCACAGGGGGAAGATAATCAGGAGGGAAGTGACCTTGAAAACCTTCACCTTTGTAATTTAATGTGAAGTAGGATTTTTTTTGGATGTTTTATGGGAGCCTTAGAAAAAAACTGGTGCAGATCAGACCATGAGCCGTGAAGTGTACAATGAGAGCCTGACTGAGACGGTCCAGTGTGCTTTACCTACAGGACACACCAGGACAAAATTATTAGCTTCTCCTGGAAAAAAACTAGCTTTTGATTTACTTTTAAAATGTTTTTAATTTACCTCTCCTTGCTTTTTTTATTCAGAGCAAAACATTTTAACAAATCTTTTCTAAACTACTACTACCGTAATATAGGAAGTATACAGCATTTGAAACAGCATACAGAACACAAAACCAACAGCGGCGAAAACGTTTTCTTCATGTCCCCAACTGTGGTTGTTTAGGGGCACTTTGGATCAATTAGTATTTTTCTGAAATTCGACATCTTTAATTTCAGGTCCAATGATTATTGTATTAACACTGATAGTGCTGTTGTTTGACAGCAGGAAAATTACAGGAGCTGTAACCGGAGGTCCTTTTCTATGCCGTTCCACCCCGTGTGTGTGTGTGTTTTCTCCAGGTTTGCTGACAGTGAGTGGTTGCTGGTTTGAAACACTGTACTTTAACTGCTGGGATTGGCTGCAGCTGTTGTTGTTGCCCTGAAAAGGATAAGGCGATAGAGAATGGATGGATGTATAACTGGTATAACTGTGCTAAAGCTAATTTACAACAGATCAAATATTAAGAAGTTATTTAATAATTTTATTCTTGATATTTTTGGCTTTTTCCTGTGTGCTAAGTATATTAAAGTCAGTTAAATTATATTTTATATTTTAATCCATTGCTCTGTAAAAAAAAAGCACTTTAAAAGACCAAATGTTCTTGGGTTTGCTAATAACTTTGTCCTCACCTGTGTGTACCGCAGGACGGCACCTTTAGGTTCCCTGCTTATTTATGATCATCTCTGCCGATGCACTTTGACGGCTTTAGAAATTTCTTTACTTTGATTGTTCTACTGCACTGAAGACGAAAAAAAAAATCAGATACCTTTTGCAACGCCACTGTATTTGAACAGAGCCGTCCTTCTGCACATTCTCACAGCACTGTCGTCTGCTGCAGTGTGTGTCTGAAGGTTAAATCTGTCGAACCAGACACTCAACATTTTGTTGTGTCACTCGCCGCATTTGAGGCTGAGATTTTAAACTATTTCAGAACTGCAGTCATTTTACGACCTCTTTCGAAGCTTTCCAACATATCAGTTCCAAACTGTTCAGTTATGGCTTGTGGTTTCTCTGTTTCTCTAGTTCGTGTTGTTTGTTTCAGTCTTTGCTGTATTTAATCAGCTATATTCCAAATCTTATCCAGCAAATTCCTCAAGTCCATGGAAATGTTACCTCCTGCTTCTTTCTAGCACCCAAATACCTTATTGCTACAGTTATCTGTTAATGTTAAAGTTGGGAACATGAATGAGACCAAACTCAGTATTCTTACTTGTTATTGTGGGTTTGCGGCTTTACAGTTTACCTTAATTTTCCTTTAATCGCAAGCGAAATGTACTTGAAACTGTTTGAGAAAAACAATGCACTTGGTTTGATAAGTGGAGAGATGTGTGTGTGTGTGTGTGCGTGTGTGAGAGAGAGAAATAGAGCGAGAGAGTGGATCACAGCATGTGTGCTTGACATTGTTTTTTCCTGCTTCTACCTGAATTGTGAATTTATTTTTCAAACGTGAAGTAATTTCATGGAGTGAAACTGAGGCATGAGATTTTATTTGTTTTTCCTCGTGTGGATTTTTCAGTGTTCTAAAATATTTTGTGAATGGTGTGACATGACAAAAACACTTTACCTCAAAGTTAAAAGATGTTCAACTGCCTCATTATTTCAAAAATGTCACGTTGCTTTCACAGTCGTTCTTGCAGTTACAAACGCGTGCCCCTCGATATTCTCAAGACTTTTTACTGTCAATAAAGTTACATTTATTGTAAAACAGTCTCACCTATTGTTGGATCGTGCTGCATTTTTTCAAAGAAAGGAAATTCCATTTATATGGACTCATGCAATTAGAAAACCATACAGAGCAGTTTATTATACGTCAAAAGGCATATCGTACAAAGCAGGAAATCTGCTTTAAAAACAAAATCATATAAATCTATTTATATTTATTGTTGCATACATTTATTATTCACTTGATTATTATCAATTTGAAGGTTTAAATCCATTACTACCAACCTTGTTTTGCACAGTAAATCAAAACCTTATTTAAAATTTGTACTATTAATTATAATGATAATACTAATAATAATAATAATAATTATAAAGAAATTCTGTTTCACATAGCTCATTCATGGTCAAAAGTGACAGAGAGATGCTTTTTTTTCTTTGGAGAAATCAGTCCCGCAGTCAGTATTTAGAAAAGAAGAGAGGAGAACATAGAATGTATTCATTACATGAAGTACTTTACAAATATAAAAACCAAATAATACAATACATACTGATAACGAGTCTTTTATTTACATCATACTGAATTCAGATCTCACCTAACGTAATACAATACAATACAAAAAAAACCCACAGGACTGTGATAAAAATAAATAAATGTGTGGGAGAAAAGTACAGAAACCTGTCACATCACTTATTGTAAGCCTTATAATATAAAAATATAATATATTTTATATAATATAAAATTGTACAGGACTTCACAATCACTCTACAAAAATATGATTAAACCTCTACGACTTGTTTCAAAAGTACTTTTATAATGTGAGGCTGTTTGTTGCACGAAAAAAAAAATCACCATCCAAAATGTACGTGTTGAGTGAAACGTGACCTTTGGGTCTGTGCGACAGAATCTGTTTTCTGTTTCTGGTTGACCTTTTTTTCCCCTTTGTAGTGGAACACAGGTGCAGGTTACACCCACACGCTAATTCCTACACGGAATCCTACAGTGAATGGAAACAGAAAAAAGTCGGAACTAAGTATATGTAAGAAGCCATACAATTGCTTTTAAATTTCATAACTGATTCTAAACTGTGTGTCAGGAGAATCTCTGCTTCATTTTTTTTACCATACGTACAGCCTACATTTACCAACTCATAAAAATACCTTAAAAATACCCATCCCATACCAGTACTCTTTGTCTATTTAAGGTCATTCTTTTTTTAGCCTGTCTGTTACTTTTAACAACTGATTTCAAAATATATTTAGAAAAACGTTTTTAACCTGCACAGACTTCCTCTGACAAAAATACAAAATGTCACTTGACAATAGTTTAAATTTGTTTATAATGTAACATGGTACTGTTTACAGTTCAACAGGGAACTGTAAAGAACAAAAAGTTACGTTAAAAAAATATATTTTACGTTATACTACGGAGCCCCTAAGGGGACACGGAGGCAAATGAACATTTTGTCGCTCACCTGAAACTTAAAAGTATTTTTTACTTATTTATTCCCCCCTCCCCCATGTCCCTTTAGGCGATCCGTATTTTTACGAAGCTGTTTTGCAGAGGTTAAAGTTGAAAGTGTAGTCGGTTTAAATGTTTCTACTTGTTTCTGTGTGTGGAGAAGGTCACGGCTGAACAAAGGTGGGAAATTATAAAACTTAAAACAGCTTTGTGTCTTTTTCGGTAAGTCATAGGCAAAGAACTGTTTACCTGTCGCCGGTAGGATGTTGGTGTGGTCCTTTTGTGCGTGGACATTTGCATATTTTGAACAGCTGCAGCCTAGTAACGCTTTATATTCAGATTTAAGGTTACTCTGTTGTCATTTTGGTAAGAATTTTTTAAAATCAATGTCGGTAGTACAGTTAAGTGACTTTACGCCACGATCTCCAAAAGTACAAAGTAATGTTTTTTTCCTGCCTGCATAAATGAGTTTACGGTGTTGTATCGATGTTCGTTTCCCTGGTGAGATGTGTACCCCAGGCCTCTAAACGAGGGAAGGGAAACCGGAAGTCATGTTATAGCGAGAGGAAGAATCGAAGTAGCGCACCTTCTTATTTAGGAAATGAACACATTTAACGGCGCAGTTGAAACTCGCATAACACCGTTGTGGGCTTTTCCATTATTCCATTATCCATTATTGTTATTATTTTTATTTGTCTGTCTTTTTTGTTTTGCCCTGCTTTCTTATTTTCCTCTTAGCTTTCCTTTTAGCTATTTTATTACGTAACAGATGTTTACGTCTACAGTGATGCTATTTTAGTCAAACCAACGAAGTTGGAAAGTTGGAACCGAGTTTGTCATTTGTTAGTTGAGTTATTCAATAATAATAATAATAAACACCTTCCTATGTTTTAAGCATTTCCTCTGTAATATTTTAACGTCCGAGTTTAATCATCCTGAACTCAACTCAGGTCAGGATGATTAACGATAGGTGCAAATGGAATGCACCTGTTTACGGCAATTTTGTCAGAAGGAAGTGTGTGTATTGTCACACCAACACCGTTAGATGTCAGCCTTTTATAACACAGCATGATGACGAGTTACTTATGACTCCATGGAGCCAGTATAACAACCAATCACCAGAGGGCGTAATAAACGCTGAAAACAAACCAGCTTTTTACCGGTGTCATTGGCAGCATTTGTACAATAATTAACTCCATACAAATTACAGTAAACAGAAACAAATTAATTACGTCAATTTTTGATCAATGTGTTTCTCAGAACTCATGTAATCACGTAGTGAAAAGTTGTTTTTTTTTTAAAAAATTGCTGTTGTAGCACAGTTGCTCTGTCTAATAGTTTAATTGTTTAAACTGACAAGTCTTGGCACAGGCCTAACAAGTGGTACTATACACTAAGCTTTAAAATGAATTGTTAAGGTGAGCTCAAATGCTGAAAATGCAACTATTTGGTGTCAGAAAAAGCATAAGCAGCAAAGTTCTATTCCAAAAGTATAGCTAAACAGTAAGTGTTTGCATAAACAACATTACAAATAATTTAAAATGCTATTCAAATGTACTTCACAAGGATTTAACACAACATTCTCAAAATTAAGATTATCTACCTTGAAAAAAATGTGTCAACACAAGTCGAAGTAAACCTTTTTCTCCCCTCTAACCTCAATTTTCCATAAGCCAACTATTAATGTGTCATATTAAAACAAATCAAGCCGTAATGAAACAAGTATGTTTATATCCCGAATAATTTATGATGGAAAAACCCTGGCATTTATACAGATGTGAAGTTGGTAGCCTATCAAAATCAGATCAATTAGTCTATCAGCTAACGGATGATCCAGGTGCCAGAAAAGTTTGCAAGCACCAGCCAAGACAAACAATCTGTTCTCACACGCCCTCAGTTCAGAGAAGCAGCCACAGCAGCTGTTCCTCGAATTGTTCATACAATATGCATGTGATATTAGTTAATGCACTTATTGTGTCAGGTCTAATATATAAAGAATGTGTTTATTGTTTGGCAGCCGAGTGTTAATCGAGGACATAAATGCAGGTGCACCCAATGAAGGCTGTTAATCTTTCAGTATTTTCATGACAGGGTTGATGGTTCAGTGTCCTCTTTGCATGTTATATATTACTCCTAAATACTGACATTGCCAAAGGATTTTGTATGTAATTTAACATTGCACTTTTGACTTTGGCTGTGACATCTTAAAAAGAATCATCTCTTCATCCTCTTAGGGGCCTCAGGTTCTGGACACAAATCACAAGCCCACCCTGGACCACCAGTGGACATCATCCATTCAGCCTCACATTTATAACAGTGGTTAGGTGAGTTGTTTTTTAATAGATGTACAGTATTTGACTTTCCTGTCTAATGTCACAGAAAAGTCACCTGAAGCTGATTTAAGTTTTTAACGCTTTTGTAAACACTAGGTTTTATGACAACTTACAGACTAGAGGTCACACACTGCACAACTGACCTTGATGAGTGACCATAGACTTTATGATTTGTCTTAATGTGTCGTAAAAATTCTCTTGAGGTCTTCAGTGCGACCATCGTTGTATAGGCCGTTGTATCACTGACGTAGCTCCATTAATTTCTTCTCCATTTCTGTGGTCAAGACTGACTTTGTTTGCACTCTTCCTCCCTCACTGTTCTCACTCTTTTTTATATACACAGTAAATATCTCGCTACTTCCTGTCATTGTCTGATGATATTTCCTGTATCTTCCCCTCTTTTTTATTGAATGTTGGCAACACGTGTTTACATTTGGTTCAGTGATGAGTTCACACTGTCTGACTTCCTCCATATTCAAACTGTAGCTGGGTCCCCTCATACACCTTTTGTGCTAGCCAGCCATGCTGAATGTCACCCACTGCAGACTGTTGCAAACTTTGCCCAAGTGAAAATCATGGGCAGAATCTGGGAACTCATCTTGCTGTGTGTCCTCAGCTTAACCACTGCTGCGCTACTAGACAGAACATTAAGTGAAGTCAGAGTATTAAAAAGCTGCTGGCATTGTTGTTGTTCAAATAATTCTGGCTCTGGAAGTGATTAGCCCTCAAAGTCTGGGTGAGTATATTGCTAACAGCGAGAGAGACAAGGGCGGGTGGCCGCAGTGTTGCACGAGTGTGTGTTCTTACGAGAATGAGTGGGACACAGAGACAGAAATGTGTGTTTTGATGGAGCACGAGAGAGGGCGACTGGGGTGGTTCTGTTATGCAAGCGGTTCTCAGTATGCATGTAGATTGGAAGTGTGTGGCTCTAGTGGTTGGCTGTCCCCTCTGTCACTGCCTGTAAAAGCACTTGCCAAGAGAAATGTCTTCTTTACAGGCTTTGGCTGCCAGATGCTGGGGATGATGGATAGCAATGCAGGATGGGAAGATGGAGAGGTGGGAGCAGTTGCTAATACATGCTAATACATACTAGGGGTGTAGAAAAATATCGATACACCGATATATCGCGATATTTCATTTCAAGATATTGTATCTATATTCCACAGTGCTGTTTTGATTTTTTATTACTATTATTAACAATTCAAATATTCATGGTATTTTATTTTGCGTTGATTTCTTGGTGGGGTTTCTTGGGTGTTTACTTTGCTGACAGTTCTCCTACAATTCATGAAAAACCCCAAAAACCTCAATATATCGTCACGCCTAAAGTATCGCAGTGTATCACAATATCGTTGCCCCTGTATTGTGATACGCGTTGTATCGGCAGATTCTTGCCCATACATGTGCACAGAGATTCCACTGGATCTGGACTGGTGTGTGAATAACTGTACGAAACTCATACCCAGTGACACACAGGAAGTATTTTACCAGTTACGACATGTCGCACTGACGTGTTACGTGTGAACATGCACTATGGGAATGTCTACTGATTCAGTGCAAGATACTAGGTGCAAAATGATTTGGACATGTGAAGGACACCGTAGAGTTGCGTACGTCTGTACGGTCGTTGTGAAGCGTCCATGGAGGCGCCAGCGTGTGAATGAGTGTCTTTGAGCGGGACAGTCGGTGACACAGGAATGTGTCATAGCCACTCGGCTCCCAAACTGCAGCAAATAAACATTCCTGTACTGCTGTGTCACTGCTGAGCCTTTGCCCACTGTCGCTGTAAAACACAAGATGTAATTAAAACCAAAAACTGAGCTTTACTGCTTTTGTTTCCAGCAGTATCAGTAAATGATGAGAAGATAATGGCTGTGAGCCTCCAGACATTTCTCAGCACTGTGGTCCAGATCATGTCAAGATGGTCCAACTGCTAAGAAAATGATCTGAATCATATTTTATTGATGGCTGACAATACAGACTGTTGTCATTTTGACTCGCAGAAATTCAATCATATTTCGCCGAGTTGTAAAAATGACCTCACATCTCGGCAAAGGAAACAATAGCAGTGTTCAAAAATGTCACATATTCTGATCCAATTCTCCACAGTTTCACACAGATCCATTCAGATGAGGAGAATGTGTTAACATTCCATGGAGCCAGACACAAACTGCTGCAGTTCATCACTGACTGGGCCGCTTGATTGGAATTAATTTCAGGCTTCATCCCTGCTGACAGGTGAAATTATGCACAGGCAAACCTTGTGTCACACGGATTCCATCAGTTTGCGCCCATATTTCATATGCTGTGCTGCACCCAGGCGCTGTCAGAGGACTGTAAACATACTCTACTGTTGGTTGTCCTTTTCCCAAACTCTGTCCCTGTCATTACAGCTCTGTTTACAGGACCATTTACCATGTTTGCTAGCAAAAGAATATACTGTGGCTGAAAATCACACTCTGACGCACCATTTTCCAGCGAACGCACTTCGCTAACCAATCGGATCGATTCCGATGTGTCACTTGTTTCTTGTCTTGTCTTCCAGATGATAAGGGATAAGAGAGTTTTATCTCCGTGTAGGGGAATTGTTCTTACCCAGAGGTATCTGAAGGGTTTTTTTTTTCAGTTGTTCGCAGACGTGCGATGTGTGACTGTGTCGAATCCCATTGGAAAGTCAAAGAGAGAGTTGAAAAAATTGAATTTTGGTGACAAAAGAAGAATGCTGATATGATGTTGCTTCAACCAATCAGTGGTTCTTATCCAGACAAAGATCTTGGATTAGTGTTGAAACTTGTCCCGTTGTGTAAATGTTGGGGTGTTGTTTCAGACTGTTGGTTTCACCTCTGTTGGCGTTTCCATTTTACCTGATGCATTTAGAACATAAGCAACTGGATTGTCTTTATAGAAGACGTTCTGGTACCAGGATTGTTCAGAAGTCAGTTTGAATTTAAGAAGCATCTTGGGTGAGAGGTGAAATGTCTTCTCGAAACCAAGACAGTCCTGTTACCAACGCCTTAACTTCAATTTGGGTGATGTTTCATTCAGGTCAATTCTGACTTCCAAAAAAACAAAAAAACAGTTCAGTAATCATTGGGTGAGGGTGGGTAGACACTGGACAGTTCACTTGCTCATCACATGGCCACACATAGAGGCCATGTGAGAGGAAACTGAAGAGTCCCACCACACACAGACACGGAAAACATGTCTTCTACCACCGTGTGAACCTGTTGCCATTTATTTTTGCAAAAAAATGAATATTCATTCACTGAGTCTGAGCTTCCAACTGTTCTACCAGGAAAAAGACATCACTCTGAGACAACCAGTGAGACACTACCAGGAAAAAGACATCACTCTGAGAGTGAACCAATGAGACGGCATGTGTGAGCAGAGGAGAGACAGGCTGAGTGAGTGAATACCAGCTACAAATATCTTTATACATATGTGAAGTGTGCTGTCATGTCCCAAACAAACACGCATGCACGCACAAACTCTACAGAGTTACATCCCTCCCATCATAACTGCAGGGCTCGCTCTCCATCTCGCTCCACAGGGGCACCGAGTCTGACCACAGACATCATACTGATTGCTCACCGTGGTCAAGTGGTCTGTCCACATTCCCACCCTGACTCACTATGTGCAGAAAACCCAACAACGGAAAATAGTGGTTAGAGAGTGTCTGGAGGTTTGCAAACGGCCGAGAGTATCCACCGTGTCTCTACTAAATCCATCTCATCTCCTCGACGGCACTGCTTCATATCCTGGAAAGACAGGAACGGCCAACTGCAGTCTATTTCTGGCATGTGAGGAATGTTTCGGACTCGTAGCGAGAGGATAAAACGCAGAGGGCACTTGAGTGAGTAAGTGCCGGGATGAATACAACCTTCCCTGGCTCCTGTGTGACAGGTTGTGTCAGGCCGGTAGATGATGAAGTGATGGAGATGTTAGGAGGCCACAGCCATTGTGATGCTGGGTGGCTGTTACTCTGGAGGTGCCATCTGCTGAAAAGGTCAGTTGCTAGGGGATGATTCTCCTGGACCGTGTCTGCTTCCCAGCTGCCATCCACACACCCACACACACACACACACACACACACTAGTTGGAGAGTGTGCACTTACAAACACACACTCATGCTCTTTTCATTGTTTCCTATAAATCTGCGTTGAGTAAATCTGACCCATCTGACTGACCACCGCTAATCCACATGGCTGTTATTTGTAACTTTAGGTGAGTTTAGATTGATTGTAATTATTTATGCAATGTGTGCCTGTGATGAGGCCGTAAATGCATATCCTATTACATAATAGTCCTGTGGTCACTTAGTGGCACCGAAACAAATGCTTCCTATTGTGTGAACAGTGTTAGGGTGTTCCTGTCATAACAATGCCCTAATTAATTGGAACTTGGACCATTATCAAATGCTAGGATTACAATGAAATGTTGGGGCAGCGCAGAAGTCAAATCAGCATTGTGTGCCAGATGCAAGCCACGCTACATTGTCCATCACAACCACTTTGAGCAGCCTATCATTCTGTGCGGTGACCCAAACCCAATTCTGAATTCTTTATCGTACGCCCTTCAAATTAAAGCCAACTCCACCCAACGGGCAAAGATTTTTTTCCACAATTTAGCAGGAATTTTAATGTGAAGCTGCTGTGCCTTCATTATGCCATATCATCTTCTCTGCATGTTCTCCAGTGATTGACCACATGGCTGCATTATTGTTGGGGGAACAATGTGGGACAGTAAAAAACTGTTTTCCTGCAGAAGCCTAAATCAGGAACACCCTTGAAAAATGGTTCTATTAACTTTGACACTCTCCTGCTGTTGTGTCGGTCCTCAAGTCAGAGGTCCTGAAAACAGCAAATGAATCTGTTCTGCTGGTAAAAGGGAACATGGATGGAAGTTGGCCACATGACAGTTACTGAGCCCCGGGACATAAATGTTTTTGACATTTCAGCTCATAAAGCAAGAGCTGCTGCATAAAAAGTTGCGCTAACAATGTGATGAAGCAGACATTCTGATCATGAGTAAGCAGCATCTGCTTGTCGTCAGACTGTGTCACTGTGTGGAGATATTGGCAATGAAGAGGCTGACAGGATCCATACCAAAAATGCGACTCAACTGTACAAGTTTTTGCAATCTCTGTACATTTTTTATTCTTCCACTTACACCCCCTCCCTCCCCCCGACCCTCCCCTCCTGACACCCTCACCTCCAGCCTGTGCGTGTCCACTGGCTTCTCCGAAGACACTGACTTTTTGTTGTAGCGGAGCAGTTGTTTTTGTTTGTGCCCTTCTTACCGTGGCTGCCTGCTCACCGCCTGGCAGCCCCGTGTGTCAAAGGTGGCTGCAGCAGAACAGACTGTGGGAACAGCCGGTTAGCCTCCCCTGGTCCCCTGCTCCCCAACCAGAGGGGCAACCATCAATCCAGCTCTCCCCCTGCCCTGCACACACACTGAAGCACAAACACACAAATGCCCAACCAAACACACACTCACACAAAAAGCCTACAACGCTCACACCGTCTCCCAATAATCCTCGGAAGCAATTTCATCTCGACTCGGGTGGCGGCCCATTGTCGCCAGCCCCTTCAATCTTTCCTTATTAACTCTCGCTTTGTCCCGCATCCGAGCTTCTGGACTCATCTCTCCTACATTCCGATCAATGCTGCTCCCAGCACTCCCAGGCAACCTCCTTTCGCTAATCCCACTGCCTCCCCCACCAGCTGCCCCACCCTAAGGAACTCTTACTGCCTTTTTTTTCCAACCTGCCGATCACCTACTTACAGAGTAAGGTAGGGGCATTAACTCCATGGGCTTTCTGAAGGCAGAGTGTGATGGCGGGGTGGGTAAAGGAGGAGGCGGCCACAAAGTGACTCCAGCCCAGACAATTAGAACAATGAGCAGGGCCTGTAGGGGGCTAACTCGCTGCGTCACGCCTGGACGGTGGGGTATTTTGTCAGTTTAATGAATTGTCCGTCAGGCCAGGGCCACATCGCAGTCCGCGCAGAGAGAGGCCAGCAGGGACCCAGACACTAAGTCGGTATTTATTACACTGCCTTTGTCACTAATTGAGCTAATTATCACTGACTCTTCAGCACTCCCACAGGCAGCACCCCCTCCACTCACTCTATACCAACTCTCCCACCTTACTCTCACACTTGGGTTTTTGAACCCGTGGCTCCTCTTTTTTTAAATTGGACTTCACTTTCTCCGTCAACGTTACTTTCCACACATCTGCAATTAGCTGTCAACCGTCAGTATGTTGGTGAAGTCAGGCTACACTTACAACACAGCTGGGCTGTTTGACTTGGATACTGCCAGTTTTTCCGTTTTCAAGCACTAGCGGGGAAATGACTGGTTAACAGATGTTTGTCTGACTCCATTATAAAAGGTGATAATAATCGTACTTTGTAGGATGAAAGTCCTGCTGCTTTGTAAACGTCTACGTTTTAAAACAAAGTTTAAAGCTTTCATTCCTATGACTTGATAATTGAACATAAATAAAAACATTGGGTTGCAGCTGATTGTAATGACATTGTAAATCTATAAACAAGTTAAGGCGGCAGGAACTCACCCGACGGGGCTTCTGCTTATACTACAGTCAGCTAAGTGTGCAACCATTGCTTAACTTCCTTTTGGACCTATATAAATGGAACCCTCCTTGTGGCCTTCTTCGACCTGCTTGTTCTAGCGATGTGCTTGCCATTAGCTTTAGCATGAGTCAGCTAGTAATAAGCAACATATATAATGACTTCTACAGACTTTTTTTAGTGTTAAATGTTATATGAACACTACCTTCTGCTTTTAGTGTTGGCTAAAGGCTAACACTATAGTTGCACATATGGGCAACTAACAGTTGTATGTATGGGCAACTGTTGATACTATTTGTTCTCAAATTTCCCCCAAAGCATTAGCACATGTTTCTTTAGCTCACAGCACAAGGAAGCAATTTTGTCAGATGAACATAAATATATGTATATGTATATATATAATTTATATATGGGCTAAGTTTAATGGGTCTTAAACAAATCGTTCCAAAAGTTAACCAATTTTACAATAAAACATGTTCCATTTTTCTGTCAGGCAACTCCAAGAGCTTTGACAACTTCTTTCATTTATGCCTTTGTCAAGCCTTGATCACTGTTATATTTTTATTTGATCATTAATTGTTGTCGTAACCATTTTAAAATTGAGCAATTATCAAAATTTGGACCAAACTTAAATAAACATTTCTTAATTTTATTGAAGCTTGGCAACATCTTTTAAGCTCACTCCATCCAATATTTTTGTCTCAAAACGAACAGATGTAGAGAAAAAGCTTTGTAATTTTTTTAAAAAATAATGTTTTTTTTTCATGGTATTTCTTCTCTTCGTAGAGACGGTTGGTATTTTATGGTTTGTTTGACCTAATGACAATTTCTTGCTGTATTCTGTTCATTATAATTGGCAGTGATTTTCTTTCATTTCCTCACGTTATCAGAGTCTTCTCTAAACCACATCTTATTGTATTGAACACTTTTCAGGGTTAAATGACCTTTACCTCTTTCACTACTTTTACACCAAGTGTCTCACGATCCGACGTATTCGCTCTGTTAGAACAACACAGATGTTACAGATTTGAACAGTTCATTTTCAGCCCTCTCTTTGGTCCATTTTGTCTTACCCTGTGTGACCCGACAGCTGTGTTGGTCTGGTATAAGGACCTTATGTGTGTGTGTGTGTGTGTGCGTCTGTGTATTGGTGGCCGTACAGTGTCTCCACTTTGTTCTGTGTGGATGACCCGGCTGCTTCTGTGCTGTGGTAGGCTCTAAAGAAAGTGCAGCGCTCTCCAAACTCCTGTGGTTAGTCAGGTTGCCAGGGGTTTGGGGAGCATTCATTTTCGCATTATGATTTTTTTTTTTTTCAATTCTCTCTTTGACATTATACAAATGAAGCAAAGCATTCAATGCAGTAAAATCCTGTATAACATAAGGTATGTGGCTGGATAAGCCGGGGCCGTCCCTGTGGTTGGGAGCACAGATACAGGGATGTTTTGTGAGCTGTGGAAAGAAGCTGCTTTGGTGGTGGTAATAGGATTAGGCGGAGGACACCCAGGGATAGGCTTATATGTTCACTTTGTTGGTTGTCAAAACTATCTCAAACACAAACTGCACCAGACATAATGGCATCTTTTGACACATTCAGAAGGGCAGCTTAATTGAAAATATAGACTTTATTATCCTATCATACAATACAAAAGTGGAACCTAAATCTTTTTAATTAAAATCTAAAATTGTCTTCACTTACATCTCTCTATGACAGTATAAAAAATTCCCAGAAATAAATATTTCATATGTACAAAATAAAAATTAAAAAAAGTAAAATATTCAGTGCATGACCAAACGCAAGTTTTGTTCATAAGAGAAAACAAGCAGAGAAATCAAAGTGTAGTGTTTCTAGTGGGATTGGGGTTTGCGTCCGCTACGTTACACCAAAAATAGAAAAAGACATGAGATCAAATACTTCCTGACTTGACCCTAATGATACCATGTTCTCCAGCCACTGACATGTGCATTAATCATACAGCAAACGTACAAGAGACATCATCATAAATATAATCATATATCTTAGTATTTACAGTATTTTGGTTCGCTTAGCTGGTATACAATATGATTTCTTCTGCAGAGGCTACTTCACTTTATTTTTTTTTTATGAAACAAAGCTGCGTTTTGCAGCCTCTAGCCTGATGTTGAACATATGTTTTTTCTCATCTCATTTGGCAAATGGCATCTAGTCTTTCAGTGCTTTGATTATACATTCAAATGAATTTGCGTCACTTATATTTGTTCAGTCATTTTCTATTGTACTTGCACTGATCTCTATCATGTCGCATCAGGACCATGCCGTCGCCAAAACAGAGAATGTAAATATTTAATGGACATAGTAGGAATTTCTTCAAATTCCGTCCTATGAACTAGTAGAGTAGAAAATTAATTTCTCTTTTTTATAATCACTGGGTAAAAAGTACATGTACTAGAACTTAATTTCCTGCCTTTTTTATATCAATCCACAGTCTTAATCCTTCCATTTCGAATCTACATAAAGGTTAAAAACAAAATACTATATTTATTCTCATAAGGGCAAAAACAAACAAATATATCCTTTATACCTCATGTCATGCACTTGTGCTTCCTTTTGTTTGATTGGCTGTATTAAATTTCCCTGTATAAGTTTATTTACCTGGAATATTTTGGGGTTCTCCCTAACATCTTTACCAAATGTCCATCTTTGAAATTTTAATATATAGAAAAGTACAACTAATATTTCCCAGCTGTGATCATAGACACTGGTGCAACGTTCGTGTACTGGTGCAGTTCAAGCAGCTGACATGGCAGCACCAGTGGAAGGTACAGTGGCAGCGTTCAGTCACAGTCTCTGTCCGGGTGTTATACCCACGTCCACAGCACAGCAGCTCACATCCGTCCAGGCCAGGAGAGGAGCTGTTGCATGTTCTCCCGGAGGTTCCCAAAGTGCCAGTTTTGCCATTGTAGGAGCAGAAGTTTGGTGATTTCTCATAATAGACCAGGTCCATGGCAGACGGAGGCTTGTGAGCCGGGTTTTCTGGCTCCAGGTGGCGCGGGTCAGCTCTGTGAGACGCACGGTTGCTTCCTTTGTTGGCATACACTACTCTGGATGCTCCATCAAAGCGGTCCTTAAGGAAATCTCCCACTGTGCGGAAGCTGGGCAGTCGCATCCAACAGGTGCGAACAGTGCAGGATCCTGACATGCCGTGGCATTTACACTCCTGACGCATCTCTGAAGACACAGTCTGCATACAGGGTTGACATGGATTTCAGATTAACACGTCAATACTGATGTATGGATATATTTTGGACCAACAATGAGAGGTGTGACTATCAGAAGCTTACCATTCTGCCGGCTTCATTGTTGTGCAGGTTAATGAGGTAGCGCAGATCCCTGCCCCTCTCACTGGAGTCAACAAACTCCTGGCTAAACATCCGACCAAAGTCCACGTTGTCACTGCAGCCCCCCCAGTGCCAGTCTGGCCCCCCAGGGCCCCGACGGCGGTAATCACAAGTGCAGGACTCAATGGCCCCTTCTGAACATGAACGTGCCACAGCATGGGTGACCCCTGCACTGGTAATTGCAAATACAAAAGCAGTCTCTCGGCAACCTGAAGAAACAACATCAGACCATTTCATTAGACATTATAGGAGAGTTCCATTGTAATGTCCATGTGAGATTGCATTATCTGAAAAGAAATATATATTTCCGAGTGTCTGGTGCGAACGACGAGAAAGGGACTCACCACGATTGACAATTTTGCCAAATATTCCGGGACTGTGGGTGGTCGGGCAGTTCCAGCGGCGGTTGCGGAACTGCCACTTGCACTCCTTTATGGCAGTGTGCAGCCCAGCAGCTATGGCATGCAAAATGCCAGGGTTCTGGCGAATCAGCCGGCGCTGGCGTCGACTCAGCAGGGCCAGGCTGGGGTCCAGGACCAACTGCACGTTTTTGGAATTGGTCAGGAGGTTGGATGAGGAGGCCACATTGACAATACCCCTGGCACAACACACAAGGACAAAGGAATTCAGACTGGTAGGGGCTGGCAGTTCGTGCATTGCATTGCTATTTGTGTGATCTTCTATCTCAAGCTAATGTCTTGGCATCTCCTGTTTTGAAATTACGGCCTGTATTGTAAACTACAGTAACAAACAGAGACACGAGCTGTTCCAACATCAGGGCTAGAAGGTGAGACTCCACAAGCCGGGCTGTAGCCTGTGCACTGCCCTCCTCAGAGTGCAGTAATGACAGAAATCGGATTACATACTGGGAAGTTATGAACAACTAGTGATTTACTAAACTATAACTTATGATCAACACAGAATTGACCAGAAGCAACATCTGACCACTACTTTAGAATTATACTACTATTTATACATAATATACTTTATAATATGTATAACATCTATGTATTTATATATTTGTGTTTATTTTGTTTAACCAATAAAAAAAACTAAACTAAAGACAGTCATGAGACGTTACTTATTTTGTTCCTTTCAAATATCAACTTTTACACAAAAATGTACATTTCCTGTATTTTACATTTAATTTAATTTTAAATAGTCTAATAATTGATGATCTAATCTGCTTAATTAAGGGGGTAAAGTTGACTGGAGCCTATCGCAGCAGTCATTTGGACAGGGTGGTGTACACCCTGGACATATTTCCGGGCCACATACCATTCACCCTCACGTTTACATATGCTCAATTCAGAGTAAACAATTAGCTTAATGCTAGTAACGAATCATTGTGATGATATGTCCATGTCATAACGGTCATATTCTTCATATTCTACATGTTTGAATAGTAAAATACTCTATGTTAGAAAGTAACTACCTGTGATCCCTGTAATCTTCCAATTTTGGATTACTGAAGATGGATAAAATAAACTGCTTTTAGTAATCATGTGTGTTGTTTCAGATTACAGGCTGTTTGGAGTTTTTTTTTACTTGATGTGCTGGGGTTTTTCTTGGAGGTCATTTTAATGGATGTCTTTTGTTTATTATCCAGAAATCTGGGTGGGTTTGTGTCTCGGTCTGTCTGATCCTGCAGGCAGCTGAATGGTGAGCCTCTGGAAGATTATTGTTGATCTCGATTTTTGAATGTGTTCCCCCTTTCCAAAAACCTTTTTTCCTGTGTATTTTCTTGGATTTAAACTGACATTTTCAATATTTAAAAGCACACTGACGCCGTCCATCCGATGTCACCACAAAAACGACAAAAACTTTGTTGAAATAATTTCCTCAACAAACCCAGCCCACAGTTTATGGACTTTTAAACAAGCAAGACAACAATTCAACTGAAGCGAAACGACACAGAGACAGTACAAAACAAAATATTATGCAACGTGCTGTTTCAGGTCACTCACACAAAGGAATGTTAATCGACAGAGCCATGGTTAAAACATATGCTCTCCTCATGCACGAATATATATATATATATATGCTATAAAATAAATCCATATTTAATGTATTCCAGATTGGGCTGAAAATGTTGAATTGTTTTCAAAACCACAAAGACCGAAATGACTCGCAAACACAGGGAGGCGGGGGCGTAAATGGATGTGTACACAAATTGAAGGTAGCAAAAAAAAAAAAAGAAAAAAAACAAAGAAGAAGAAGCTCAATCTGGAAAAAAAAAAAAGAAAAAAAAGAAGCTCAATCTGTGTGAATTTCACATCGGGGATTAAACCACGTTAATAATTAGGGTAGTTGAGTTCGTCAGTAATGTGGAAATGAAATCCCACGTCTTTAATATCATGTGGTGACTCTTTTTCCTTCTGTGCAGACTCTACGCACGGTGCCAAAACTAACATATTAGAAACTGCGCGCAATGAACCGCCGCTCACGGTCTTCCCAAAGTTGAAAAGCTGCCTCTAATAAGAGTGTCTTCGAGGCAAGGAGTCGACACATGAATGAAGCGCGTCGCCACAGAGTGATCAGTCAACTCACCACCAACGGCCGCTGTTGTTGACGGCCCCTGTGCCGGAGAGCGACGACACAAGCAGGATACAAGCGGCTTTCACTCCTAACAGCAGCGCCAGACTCCTCATGGTGCCTTCGGACTGAAAGAGATGAGAAGGTCGTTTAATTTTCTCCAAATTATGTTTCTATATTGTCCCAAAATGCTTAAATATCAGCGAAATTGTGCAAAAAATATAGACTGAAATGAGCGAAAAATACATAGTTATCAAGTAGGGGACATCATTTACTCTTAAAGTAACATGTACAGTATAATGTAAAAATAATTTTAAAATGAGGTAAAATGATCAATAAATGATCAGAGTTAAGGTGGATCGATACTCACCAAGCGACACAATCCAGGCAGTTCTTGGAAGGTGAGAGAAGCAGGCAGCTGTAATTGACCGAAGTGGCTCCTGATTGGAGACAGGTTGTTAAATGATGTCCAGACTGGATGCTGCTGCTGCTGCTGCTGCTGCTGCTGCTGTCTTCTTCACTCTGTCTCTCTCAGTGATGCTCTGCGCGGCGCATTGAACGCGTGGGACAGTCCCGAAGACTTGATCCCCTCGGTGACTGATAGGCAACACATTCTTCTCTTATTGAGCGCTACGAGGGGAATAAAAAAGGGATTTGCTGCTCTCATCTCCCTCTGTTTTTTTCGGAGCCCTTTCAATAGGATTGGAGGGAGGGATAGTTAATGCTCTTCATAGGGCGCACAATGAATAAGGAAACACAACTGGGCAGAAAGGGGGATAAAAAAAAGGGCAATCCACGGTGTTGCGCATATTATGTGGAATCTCACGGTCGTCACAGAATCGTTTCCACGTTAAATGTGTGCAGCTGAGAGTTTTTTTCCCCTCACTTGGCCTTTGCTTGTGCCCGACTCCACGTCCTGTCCTGCGTAAGGCACCAGTGCGGCTGGGTTTGGTACAGATGCTGTGGCTCTTTGCTCCCGGCTGCTGCAGCTCGTGTCACGGTGCAGTACAGTTACAGAGGAATATGAGCCATCTAAATCTGCCCAGTTTTACCCGCTGGTTGAAATAGCCCACTCCCTATAACCGCATCTCCTCCTCCTCCTTTTTGAAGACGTGCTCCCAAAATGTGCACTGACATTTCTGTACATTTCCTCTCCTTTTACAGTCAACAAATCTATTAGATCTGTGCAACGGACAGCCGTGAACTCAAATGTGCCTTTTTGACATGTTTGTTAACAACTCTGGGTGAGGCCCAAATACACAGTAGTGTAACCAGCACTTTTTTACCAGCCCACGGCGCGCGCAAACGCATGAAAACCACTTTTACGCACGAAGAAAGAGGCTAAAATAAGCGACTATAACTCACGCTGCCTGCAGGGCAGTGTTGTTGTTTTTCTTTACAACGCAAGAAGAAATTAAACACGGTCTCCAATCTGAACCTCGATGAATGATGAACCAGGAAGAAGAAAAAAAGAGGGGGACGAGTACAGGACTAAAAGCCAGTCCAAACATCTGGCCTGCAGACCTCCCTCGACGCACATGTTGCTCAGTGTAATCACAGCTTGAGCCACTTTGCGGCATCGCCATCTAACCCCTGACTAGGAGCAAATGTACAGTAAATGTCCCCAAAACCTCCTCCGTGTTGTTTCTCTCCCCTGATGAAATGTTTCATGATGTGACATTTATCTCCGCTTAATTTGCATGTGCCACATTAGTCAGTCACTGCAGCGGCTGTTTGTGGAATAATCTCCCTCCTTCTCCCCTCAGATGACAGTAAAAGGAAGTGGGCTTTTGTTAAAAAATAAAAAGAAAGAAAAAAAGAGAAGGGGCTTTAATGACAGCCATCCTACGTTTATACTCCTGGCCTTATATGAAGCTGCTCAAACGGGTTTCCTGGAGCAGTCATGCGACACCGAGCAGATTAGAGCCTCAATCCGGATAAAGGGGCCTTTTATATACAAATCAACTTCAAATCACTTTTTAAGCCACTTAGATATACACGCCAAGACAGAATGCTAATGCACTTTTCATTGCTGCAGCTTAGGGAATGGAAGGAGATTAGATGAATTGGTGTCACTATCCAAGAACCGTGTTCGAGGGGGGTTTTAACTTAATTTTATGAAACTAACCCACGTTCATTCTAACGGGGTCCTGCAGTGGTTTCTCTCTTTAAAAAAGAAAGAAAAAGAAGTAAGATCCGGTCAGGAATCAAAATCCCTCACTTTTCATTTCTGAAGCTCTGACTGTGATCGTTAAGCTGATTGGTTGAGACAATATCACCTGCTCCTTTCAGCTGGAAGAAACGAACGTCAGATAATTTTACCGACGTGTCTGAACTGTCAGGTCCTGTCAGCTGATAGACAGACTAGAATTTTAATAACATCTGTATAAATATGAAGTCTAACTTTTGTTATGTTTGTGTAACATCAAGATCGAGGCTTGACTCTGTTTGATCAGCAGGTCTGACATTATTCTGCAGATAAATAAAATACAGAAATTATTTTAATTATTCCTACATTAAAAATAACCATTTGCCTTACGTTCTATTTGACTGCTGAAAAAAACTGGAGGCCTTAAGTTATTATTTAAAAAAATCAATGTCCACTTTAAGATACTGTGAAATATTGAAAACGTGACTTAATAATTTCAGGTGAATGTACGTTTATTAAAGCATTAATTAAAAATATTATTGTATTCTATATTAATGAAATTGAATATTAAAAAGGTGTTTTAGCTACAGCAAAGTTTCTGGATCTGTTGTTAAAACAATTTCGTTGTGGAACAACAACAAAAAAAAAACAACCAATTTTTTTTTCCTTACATACTACCATTGTCAAAGTTAAATTTAAATTTGCAAATCCGTTTGAAGTTATACTGTTTCCCAGGATATTTAATTCCATAATATTACAAATAACGACATTAAAAATGGCAACCTCTGAGTGCATATCATTTTATATTCTGAAATAAAGACTTTGGCGTGACAGAGTGAAGTTGTTTCAAACACAACAATGAGGAACAGCCGCTCTGGTGGAGGTGGTGTAGGAGTGGGGGGGGTGAGGTGGGGGGGGGGTCCACATGCCTAAAAACAGTATTGTTGCAGAGTCTGTTTGGAGCCGCTTGCCTGCTGCTGCCTCCCTGTCGTACAGTGGAACCCTCAGCTTGACCCTCCCCCTAAAAAACCCATCATTTAACTTGTGCCTTTATGAACAAAATCTTCTTATTGACTTTGTTTTTATTCATCATTAAAAACCCACGCATTATTTCAAACCACAGTCTTTAAAAACAATCCGGTCTGGATGTATGTGGCGCTGAACACATTTAAATGGTAGAAAATAATCCTGCATTCATATTTAAATGTCTATTTATTTAAGTATTATTTTAGTGTTGTATTTGTAGATTTATCCCAGAACATGACACCCCCCACCTCCTGCCCCACTTTGTTCGCGCAGCTTTGGGTAACAGCGTCTGTGCGTAAAAGTCTGGAGAGGCTTTTGCGCCTGAGGGATCCGTGGCGTTGAGACTGAATAAAATCATCAACTGTTGATCTGAATTTTATATTGGCCAATATTTCTTTCAAACAATCGCCTGTAGAGGCATCCCATCCTCTCCCCTCCCCTCTGTCTCTCCCTCTCCCCCTCCCGTTTACCCTCGCCCCCAAACTCCTCTCTCCTCTCCGTCTTCACTCCTCGGTCTCTTTGGCGGCGCATCGATTTTTCTCCACTCGTCTCCCTTTCTTTTTTCGAAATTCCTATTCTTATTCAGAGCAGGAAGTTCATTAACGGGTTTTAATGTCACGTCGGGACAGAAGCTTAACAAAATGGAGCTATCAAACAAACTCCGTTGGGACCAGTTCCTGATTTTGGCAGCGGCACTCATGTCACCTGCCCTACCGTAAGTGCACTTGAGGGGCTGATGGTACACGCGGTGGTCTGGCTACAAAGGCGTTGTTTTTTTATTGTATGTTTTAAACAACTTTTCCTTTTTTTTTTTAGAAAATCGTTTTCAGCTGCTAAGTCCAACATCTGCCCCTGATTTCACAGATTGATTTAGTGCAACAGTAAAACATCAGGATGAACATTTACTGAGTGTGTAGCCTTGGACAAGTCAGCACTGTGCCATGCAGAGTTCAGACTCAGCGCGAGTCCCGCAGTTGCTTTTTGGCAGTTTACTCTGTGCTTTGGGAACTGTTCAGATGCATGATCTGTTTGGAATTATGTTTTCTTCCCAGCTTTATGCAGTATCAGCACAAGACAACTAAATACGTGTGCAACTGATTAACACGTCTTATTGCCGTGTGTGTAATCTGAAAAACCCCTTCTAGGTGAGATTGACGAGACGAGGTTTCTTAAATCGTGACTGATTAGATGTTTTCTTTGGAGTTTCGTAAATTTCCAAAACACCTCCATTATTACACACTAATTTAGAGTTTGACTAATGAAGTCCTGACATCCTCTGCTGACCCCTCCAACCACCTCCTCCCTTACCCCCCCACCCCCACCCCCTCTGACTCTATCTCCCTCCAGGGTGCTGTGTAATGACATTCTCAGCCTGAAGGTGGCAGGAGATCCAGTGCTAACCCCTAACTCTGTGTGCCTAAAGCTGGCCGGCCTCACCAAGCGTCAGATGCGGATGTGTGTCCGGAGCCCTGACGTGACGGCCTCAGCTCTGCAGGGCATCCAGGTGGCCATCCACGAGTGCCAGCACCAGCTGAGGGACCAGCGCTGGAACTGCTCCTCACTGGAAGGCCTGGGCAAGCTGCCCCACCACAACACTATCCTCAACAGGGGTGAGAGTCTGAGGCAAGCTGATGATAGTCTCTAGACGGTCTCTGCAGGTCACGCACAGAGACACATGCAGGATGTTTTTCCCATCAAGCCGCTCATCTTCCACTCTTTGATCTTCTGCTTCCAGGTTACAGAGAGAGCGCTTTCTCCCTGGCTCTGCTGGCAGCGGGTGTGGCTCACTCTGTGGCCACGGCCTGCAGCATGGGCAAGCTGAGGGGTTGTGGCTGCGAGGCCAAGCGTCGCCAGGACGATGACAAGATCCGACTGAAGCTCACGCAGCTGCAGCTGCAGACCCTTCAGAAGGGTGGGGTTGGCATGAGCATGACTCGGTCATTACCCTTGGAGTTAAATGGCCGCCATGGCGACATGCCCGCTAACCTGCGCTCCACCCACCCTTCTGCCCTGCTCAAACCTTTGCCAGATGAACTCAGCTCCATGCAGGAGACCTGGGAGTGGGGGGGCTGCAGCCACGACGTGCGCTTTGGGGAGCGGTTCTCCAGGGACTGGCTGGACTCCAGCGGGTCTCCCAGAGATATCCATGCTCGTATGAGGATACACAACAACCGTGTGGGACGTCAGGTGAATGACTTGATCATTTTGTTTTCTTCCCGCCACTCCAGTGGCTGCGTTTACTGTCCATTAACACGAACAATCTCTCTCCACACAGACAGTGACTGACAACATGAAGAGGAAGTGCAAATGTCATGGCACATCAGGAAGCTGTCAGTTTAAGACCTGCTGGCACGTGTCTCCCGAGTTCCGTTTCGTGGGTTCCATACTGAAGGAAAAGTTCCTGTCGGCCATTTTTGTCAACTCACAGAACAAGAACAACGGTGTCTTCAACTCTCGGACAGGAAACAGTGCCAGGAGCACGGGGGGACTCATCGGGGGCCGCCGCCGCAGCATGTCCAGAGAGCTTGTGTACTTTGAGAAATCCCCAGATTTTTGTGAGCGTGATGCCGCCGTGGACCATCCAGGTACGCAGGGCCGCATCTGCAACAAGACCAGCCACGGCACAGACAGCTGCGGCTCCCTGTGCTGCGGCCGAGGACACAACATCCTGAAACAGACGCGCAGCGAGCGCTGCAACTGCAGGTTTCACTGGTGTTGCTACGTGCTGTGTGACGAGTGCCGTCTCACAGAGTGGGTCAATGTGTGCAAATAACAGCGAGTCCAGATCTCAGCTGCTTTAACCCATCCAGGACTCAAGATGGCGAGCCTGTCCCTTGGCTCACTCCTGCTGTTTGTTTTTCTCTTTTTGTGACTCTCCCACAGAATCTGAGTTTCACCCCACACCCGCCCGACTCCCTTTTTTTGGTCCATCATCTGGGATGTATTTTCTCTTTGTAGCCACTGTTATTCTCAGAATGCCAAGTCAGAGATTGAAGGGGTGATTCATGTCATTTGTCTTGCTGTGATGTGTTTAGACGATGCCCCCTCAGCCATGGAGAAGGCCTGTGCTCCACAAAACAAAGACCAACAACAGCAAAACAGCATGTGTGTATTCTGCCTCTACAGGCTAATTTATCTGGTTGTACCATAGCTGTGCATTCAAATGTGTATATTTGTAAATGTAATATTATTAAGATTATTATTGTGTTTGCACCTGTCTTCACAGTCTAATAGTTTTAGGAGTCTTGGACCAGCACTGTTAACAACAGGTTCTTCATAGTTTTTGCTGCACCTGTGACCTTTTTTTTTTTTTTTTTTTCAGTCAGTTTCAAAAATATTTTTGGCGGAATACAATTTGGGTTTTTTGTTTTAAAAAAAATTCAGATTTATTTCAGAGTGAATCGACACGTCAGAAACCACTTGCATGATTTTACAGCCTTATCAAAGCTTGTAAACTTCAAGATTAGACCCTTGATACCACATCAGCTGTGGAAACAGATTCTGTCTTCTAACCTCTTATGCTGAATAACTAATCATTAAAGTCTATTTATACCGTTGTAATTACAGCAATCCCTTCTTGACAGAAATATGCTTCCTCTCGGTGTAACTGTGATGAGTGTGTCGCTGCGCTATCATCACTGAGGTCCTGCTTTGGTCCATTCCTACGGCCCGTCCTCTCCTTAGATTCATCCCACATGTAGTCCATGTCAAACTGAGAGATGGACTCCCCGAAGGGTGTGTGTGCAATTCGGTGTGTGTCTGTTGCTGTTTAACTGGGGGGTGAGCTCCGTGCACTGCAGATTTGGGAGGTGAGAGCCATTTTTATGGCCACTCCATGCTGAGAGAAGGGCTTTTTATGGCCTCAGGATATTGTTTCCTTAAAGTATGACTTTTATTACTCGAGAGAAGCATCGGGAGAACCGAGAGTAAGGAAAAGATTATACCAGTCCATGCTGTGGGAGCATCTGAGTGAATCATCTGTCTAGAGTTCATAGCCAGGAAGTGACATGCTGGACCATGTGTTGCTGGGACGCTGTGTCTGTGTTACTTGGGAGATGACACAAACATAAACATGCGCACGGTTCTTCAGCTACAAAGACACATGAGGAAATGGCGAATCAGGCGCTCTCGTCCAATCAGAAACATGCACGCTGGTGTTCACCATCAGAACTCCAGGTGACCCAGGTGATGTGCACTCCTATTCTCATCACACTGGCAGATTTAGCAAAGCATTATTGTCAGCACCTGGCTGGATTTACGATCACTGCATTCCTAGATATGTTAGATGATCCAAACTGTCTCCATGCACGGTCCACTGGGAAAACCTCTCCTGCCGTAAAGGATTTAATACCAATTAAGTCTGTTTGTACGGACTTTGGTAAATATCCCCTGACTCCTGTGGAATGACAGTGCCAGTGGCGGAATCCACTGCTCTCTCTGTTTGGTATTTAGTGAGGGAATAAAAAAAGGGAGACAGTGAAGGGTGGGGAATGATAAAGGACTGGGTTTCTGGTTCGCATTTCTTTATCCCTTTATCATTTCCCCCCGGAGCTTTTGCAAAAGGGAATTTCCTGTCACTCTGTGACATGTGTGAGACAGAGGTTGGTGGACAGTCTGGGGCAGAGTCCTCTGCACTCGTTTCCATTTTTTTCCTCTCCCTTCGTCGCTGCAGACATAGACACACAGCAGCACATCCACTGCCCCTCGAGGAATGGCAACCAGATTGGGTTGAAATTAAAGAGAGAGAGGCCGAGAGAGGAAGTAGGGATAGATAAAAGTCACCCACAGTGATTGACAGGATGATTATATGTATAAAGTAAGGCGATTTAGTGTGTTTAGTCGGATATAAAGATGGGTCCTGCCTGTACACCAGGGATGCAGAGGCAAAGGACAACTGTCTTATGGACCTTAGG